CATAAAAGCCTTTAATAACTCTCCCACTTAATTGAAACACGTGAAGAACACGTGATCTATATTTGAAAGTTAATAAATCAACGGAAACGGTAATAGTATAAAACAATGGCAAATACACAGTCTAGAATTGTTTTATTGGAAAAACAGAATTCCAAACTTGTATCCAAGATTACTGAACTTAGGGAGAAAAATGCTATACTCTTGGCTGAGAATGTGAAGTTGAAGCCAGCTTTAGAAAAGTATGAGGTGAGATTCATAAATCTGGAACAGAAAGACAAAGAAAAGACCAGCCTTATTACCAAATTAGCTGATGATATAAAGGAAATCAAACAATCTTCGACTAATGTTTCTCCCAAAATAAATCCGAATAACACTCCAGAACAGATGTCTCAAAATGATTCACCTAAAGGGTTAGAAAATACATCTGATAACACATTCAATTCTGACACATGTCAACCAATCTATACAAAATCCAAATCGTTGGAAAAAAAAGAGGTTGATAGATTCCTGGATTCAACGTATAGGGAAAGTGTTAGTAAAGAGATAATTCAGAGCATTAAAGAAAAGAAACTTCAAGATCAAGAGTTATTCTCAACTCCCAAGAATACTATCCCCAATATTTCTCAGATTTCTACATCACTAAATAAGAATGTTTCCATATCCGAAGCAGAGAAATTACTACTTAATCGTAATAAAGATATAAATGTTCAGGATACAAAGTTTTCTTCTGAATCGTCTATTATTTCTTCTTCCACTCAGGTACAAATTGTTATTCCCCCTAAAATCTCTTATAATCAAAAAGTAGAACAGGATTTAATAAGTGAGTTGTTTGAATTTATTAGAAGTAATAACTCACTATCTTTACGAACTTCAAATTCTATATCTGGCAAACAAATTTTTGACATATTTAAAAACAATATGACATATGTGGGTAATTTAACTATAGGTACCACGTCTTATCTAGCACATTTATTCAATAAGGCTAAAAAAATTAGTAGGAAAGAAAAATTACAATGGTATTATTATAGTAAGGAATATGAAAAAAAGGTCAAAATTATTGGTTTGGAAAACAATATTAGCGATCAAATGGCAAGAACACAAATTTACGATGAGATGTTGCAATATCTATCTGGTATTAAGAGAGAATATTTACGCAAGATGACCCAAAAGGCTAAGAACATTTATATATTGTTTAAAGGAATAAGTATAGAGAAAATTGGGTTAATCACATATAGTGCTGATGCTATTTCTAGATTAACTGATTCACAAATCCAAAATATAATAAATCTTTATATCAATGAAATTGCTAACTCTCAAAAATTGATCAGCGTGAACAATTGCGAACACGCGTATGATCTAACGGAAATTGATTCTAATTCAGAAGATAAGATAAATATATTTATTGAATCTGTTTCTTCTGATTTAGAAAAATTTCCAGAAGCTGAGGTAAGTACATCATCCAATCCAACTCATGATCGTACCTATTTCCATAACAAAATATTGGAGCGATATCCTGACCTATATTATGAATATAGTAATGAAGATGTTAATTATTATGGGATTACTACAGAGTCATTATGCCCGATATGTAAGTTAATTCATGAGGATGAGGAAGGTATAGAAGATAATTATAAAGCTGGATCTTACTATATTAAATGTGAACAGCGTGGAATTGAAATTAAGGTAACTGTATGAACTTTATCTTATGCTAATACAATTCGCTTAAGTCTTTAGGATATCTCTAAGGTATTTTTATTTTTTGTTGGCTATTATTAATTTAAAGTGAAGTGTGATCATATAAAACAGTAACATGGATACACAGACTAAACTCAATAAAATATTAACTCCCAAATATTTGGATTGGCAAGCTAAATTAACTGACTTACCAAGCATTTTAACTGATAAACATCGTTCCAAGTTATATAATAGGTATAAAAAAAAAACTGGGCTCAATCCCTGGATAAAGTCTGAAAATTCAGAATTCTTACAAATTGAAGAGGGTAATTATATCTTACAGAATTGCATTATCAAAATTTCCAAGTTTCCAGAAGAAAAAAGTATAATCCATGATGCAATACATAAACGTTTCCCTTTCTTGTCTTACACTAATTCAAATGCATAACATCGAGATATATTTAAATATACTGATTTAGAAGCCAAATGCCCGATATACAAAGAAGTACATACACGTCAAGGTATATGGGGTGATTGGAGCTGTCTAGGTACAAATGATCACTATTTTCTTAATTGCCCTTTTCGTATCGATCAAAAGAAAGTTATAATCGTTATACAGAGCTTACCAGAAATTCAAGTAAGAATACCAAACAAAATCAGCAACTCACCAATTCATCCAAACAAAATTCATCTTTATCAATATGCTGTTGAAAATGATCTTGATCCCGAAAAATTTTCCGTCATTACAGAGGCTGAGAAAGATAGGTGGGCCATGGGATGTTTTCGTGGGGATTTGAAAAGAGATATATGCTTTTATCACGGTGGAATAGAAAGTAAAGAAGACTCTAGAAAATATCGTAAATTTTTAACAGATCAGGATAGGCTAATCGGAGAAGAGTTATTACATCGCAGTATACTAAGGAGTGGTTTAAGTACTGCATGACTAGATGATCTGATGAGAGAATGGGAAGAAATCCATACTCAATTCGTACAAATTTTTAGCCAGACATAGTGAGATCCAGAGGTCTCTTACACACCTCGAATGATGATTATTTATTTAATACAGTGGGCAATTACGTATATTACATGAACTTCTATGTCAATATCACTGATAATAATTTTCTGGTTTAACGATTACTTCGTTCTAATTGGCTTATTTTTACGATGTTTTCGAATAGGAGAGACAATCTTTTTTTTTGTAATACGAATACGATTCTTTCAGGATTTTATTGAATCGAGATCATACCAGTCTGAATTCGTGGATTCTGAATCAGAGCTGGATGAATTAGTCTCTGTTTCAGATTTTATCCATGGTAGCTTTGCTTTATTTATACAACTTAGTTCACACTCAATAATATGAAGTTTTTCAAAAATTCCATACTCTATATCATTTTCTATAGAATGAACCGACTTCCAAATATTATTGAAATGTGTTTTGATTGAAAGATTTCCACATCCATTGCCTAAATCTACTTTAGGGTATTTCTTATTCTTGGTAGCTCCGCTATTTTTGGAAGCGTGGACTTTTCTGGGTGGTAGAGGTGTAGGAGATATATTGTCAAATATTCTGTGATGACTTTTTTGGTGTTTAATATCTTGTGTACCTGAGAGAATTTTATTGATCATATTCGTGATCTCCTCTATTGATAAATCGAACTTAAGTGAGCTATTTTTACTAGAGCTGGCTTTATTAAAATCTTCATCGATTAACGGGATGCTCATACCATCTATTACAATTTTAGCATTCGGATTAAAACGCATCTTTACTTCGTGCGTCCATAACCAACCCTGACTCAATACCAGATCGAATGTTGGATTCTTGCGAATCTCAAAGTTTATTACATTAGTATTATCCAAGCTATGGTATGTTCCTTTATATTGAAATTGTAAATCTAAGCAATTTATTTCACCTATTGCATCTTTATAGAGGTTTTTAACCAGATCACAAGTTGGTCTTATTCCATGATCCGTTCCAAGCATATTGAACAAGCTCTTGCTAATGGTATTAAACTTTGAGGATGTATCAATTAATGCTTTTACTGGAATTTTTCCCTCTACGATTGTTTTTATGAAAACCATGTCAAATATTATTTAATGATATATATTATAACTGAAAAAATAACTCGGTAAATAATTACCCATTCTTTGCTACTACATAAAATTATTTGTAAACCATGAATGATTAAAGATTAATCCCACCAATCTCTCTGATACAATTACTGAGCGCAGAAATAAGATCTGTTTCATCTAATAATGTACCGGTGAACATCAGAATAGGTAGATCAGAATCAGACCATTTTTTATCTGAATAATTAGGGTATTCGATTTTAATTTTAGGATTAAGTTTTTTTATTACTTCTTCGCTAATCCCTTTACACCCCTTCAAACTAAGATATTTCAAATTAGTACAGTTGCGGAATATTTCCTCGATAGCTTTATTATCAATCGAACAATAGCCAAGCTCAAGATGTCTAAGTTTTGGGCATGAGCGAATAATTTCAGTGATACATCGATTAGTGAGACATATACATGAATTAAGACTCAGATGCTGGATCTCTCTTTACCGATTACTGAAGATAGTGAAATCCGAAATTTAGCAGGATATTATAAATGCGATAGCAAACCCAAGTATTATTAAACAACAATGTAAGATAACCAGAAAAAAGATCATTCTTAGTGATTCTTCGTCTTCATCCTCAACTAAATCAGGCTCTGAATATTCTAGCATCGATGAGAATAAAATACGTACACAAGTTCTCGAAGCAAAGAAGCGCAATTAATCTTGATCATAGATACGAAACGGTCTTGCTTCTTCAGACGTTTGTACTCGCTGACGATAATTCACTACAACGTAATTCTGAACTGGAGAAGTGTGATTATTAGAATTGTGTCGTAAACATTGTCTAGCTATTGTCATAAAATGTGCTGGATTTTTAGCATGTACTACTGCACCATAAACTGCTTCCAATTTACGTAAGTATTTAGGAATTAAATTATAATTTTTTAAGAATCTATTGAACCATTTAACTCCTGGCTTACCTGGATTATCCATTCTACCAGAAGATATAGAATTCTGTATTCAGATTAGTAATTCTTTGACTCATTCTTGATTCTTTTCCATAGATCTAAATTTTCTAGGAATATCTGATTGATCCCTGTTCTTTGCATAACCTGTTACTCTGGCATCTGTAATACGTAAAGTTATAAGTTCAGCGGAGTGAATACAAAGCATTATCATAATATCTACAAGAGCTTGTAAGTCGGGTAAAGTAGTTACATCATAACCATCCAATCTCTCTCTGACCGATTCTAATGTAAAATGATCTGGATAGTCAATACGATTAGCTTCAGCCTTTTTCTGATTATCCCTCTGGATTTTGTTAGCCTTTTCTGTAATATCTGGAAATTTCGTGGTCTCAACTATTGCGGGTAAAGCACCAAGATTTCTTAATTCTCTTTTGAGATGGGAAAGACGTGATAAACCAGCATTAGCATTTTTTGCTAATAGGACTAAGGTATAAGCTTCGGCCCTTACATCTCTAATACTAAGTTCATCCCATAAAATCCGTTGCGCTATATCTCCGATAGTTTCTTCCTCCATCTCTTTAGAGAGTTTATTAGTGATCACAATATTTGAGGTTTGGCCAGAAGTACTTTCACATTGTTCGTTTTCCTGGGTAGAGAATAAGGTATTCACTTGATCCTCACTAAACTCATATCTATTCTGTAAGATTCGTTTTGCTTTCTCTCTTCTTCCAAACTTTTTGGAAGTGATGCTATAACTATTTTATAACTACCTTCGACAATATTTATAGTTTTAGTTTTTTCACTTCTCTGGTTGGGTATCAATATGCTCACCTGATTACTGCTAAATTTAAAGCCATCCCGAAGACGTCGTCGACCTTGATTCCGCTTTCTATCATCAGTAAGGTTTTCAAGAAATTCTGAGGTATATTGGCTAAGTTCAGAGTCACTTATCTTTGGAGTGAGAGTGTATTTTTCAACGATTTTTGTTGCAATAGCTAACATGATTAAATGTTGTAATAGGTCAAGTAATTTATAAATAATTCTTTAGGTTATATATACTATAGAAAATATTTTTTCAAATCAAAATTAATTATGCTTTTTCCTCCCATGCTCAGAAAAAGATGGTATATGACTACCTATAGAGTAACCGAGACGTCAATTTGAAATTTACTATTACATAGAATATGAAAAAAATTTATAGCTTTGGATAAGGTTGCTTGCTGAAATCCCTTAGTGACTGTCTAAATTCTGTCGAAATTATAATAAACTATTAGTAAATAACCCG